GAAAGAATTGGATTTATTGAAATTAAATCTATTAGCAACGTTAAACATTCTATTTATAGTTTTCACACTAGATTAAAATTTTTAGACACTAGATGATTATATTTAAGGCGAAGGAGAGTCATCAGAGCTTTAATCTATTTGAAGACTATTGCCTTTCTAAATCTTTAGCCTAATTTTATTTTATTTTGTTTTTATTATTTATTTAAAACTTTTAATAGCATTATTTATTTAATTTAAGCTAAAAAATTTACTTTGGCAGATCATCGTCTTTTTGGGTACATACTAACTTTCTTTCCTCTTCATTGAGTAAGTTGGTAAGTTTGATAAGAATATCATCTGCAGAAGGTCTCTTATCAGGGTTATTATCAAGCATTTACTTTATCAGCTTTTGTACTGTATATTTAATTAATTAATTATTATAAAAAATATTAATCAAATTTTAATTAAGATCTTATCTATAAATAAATAAATTAATAAATAAATAAATTACCTTAAATTGGTACTGTTTTAAATTCTTCACTGAAAAAATTAGACTTCTAGTTTAAATATTCTACTTATGATGTCAAGGATTATTGATATGTCTTTCCTGCAACCCTAATTTTAAAAGAATCTCTTTGAATTATAAATAATTTTATTTAGTAATTACAGCCTATAAAAGATTGAACCACAAGAATAAATGTCACATTTAGTGGTAATATCCTTTTGATTGTTAGCAAAAGCAACTTCTGGAGCTTAAAATCCATTTGGATCTGAGTCAAAAGGAATAATTTCATCACCAATCTTTATAAAAAAAAAAATTATTATCAAAAATTAATTAGGGCGATGCATTTTAAAATAGAAAAATTTTAAATTTATTCGCTTATCACGCATAAATAAATAAATATTGCATCTGAGTAATAAATATTTTATATTTATTCTTCATTGAAATAAAATTTTGAACTGTAAACAAGAGAAAAATATTTTATTTTTCAATCTCTTTAAATTATTAATCAATCAAATGAATCAAAACATTAGTAATTAATTTTGATTTTTAATCTACCTTAAGTGAATATAATATTGTGTGCGTTAGTTATTACTACTTAAATTAATAAATGAAATATTTTAAATTACACGTTGAAAATCTCTAGTGCAAGTAATTAGAAGATTGTATGAGTTGTTATACTTAAATTAGATTGATTCTAAATTCAAGTTTCGAACAATTATGTTATTAGAGTGCAAATATTTCAAGGCTTAGCATATTTGCTCTATTATCACGCAGACTTCTTACAATGTTAAACTCTTTGTTACCCTCAATTTATCACTGAGTTTTTTTCCTTCAAAGTTTTAAACTACAATTTTATAGGTATTATCAGATTCAAAGTAATCTATCCCTTATATAATTAGCTTGTGGTTCAATGTTCTAAGCATCTTCACTTCATTGAAAAACTATTTCTAATTTATTACAAAAGAATTATTGATTGATTGATTGTTTAATTGATTGAAAGATGAATAAATAATTTGTGGTTTTTAAACTAATCAAATTAATTAATTACCTTTTCTTTTGCTATATTAACTTTATTTTTTTAATAATTTCTTGAGATATAAGTAGAGCCATCAGATTTTCTTATTACTTGAGTTATCTAAAATAAGTAACAACAACAAAAAATGGTAAATAAATCATAGCTATTAAAATTTATAATATACCTAAACATTTTAATCTTGGGAAATAGGCTTCTAGAGGGTGTAATAGTTGTAGAAGTCAAGTTTAAAAATGTATTATTTGAGATACTCGTCAATTATGTCTTTATTATCATATTCTATCTACACGTAGGACTATTTAGGATACTTGTTGAACTAAATAAAGCACTGCCTCGTCTCGTCATCAATTATCATTTAGTAGGTTATCTTATCATTAAGCTACAAAAATACTATGTTTTAAGTTCCCTGTTAAATAAATTTTTATCAAAATAAATACTTGAACTAATACTTGTTCTCATAATGTTTACTTTACAAAATTGTATTTTATTTTCATGCAGCCTGAGGTGTCCTGAACCGTGTAAACTCTCAAAAGGTTCAAGGCTATTTGAAATTTCTGCCTTAAAAGAGCTAGCATTTTAGTTTATTTCATCTAAATGCGGTTAGCATTTTACCCATATGTTACCAACCTTAGGGCTATTTGCAGCAGACATGAAATTAAAAACTGTATTTGTTTTATTTATTTGTTTGTTTGTTTATTTGTTTGATTAAATTTATATGCTTTTGCTTTATGAAATAATTTGTTTATCAATAATTAAAAATAATAATAATAATAATTCTTAACAAATAGTTAATCATCTTATTTTTATCTGCCTTTCTTCTTTATTTAAAATGTTACCAGTAACTTCTACTTTGGCTTAAAAGAGAAAAGTATTGATTTTAACAACGGACAGCTTTTATTATTTTTAAATAATATATAGATAGATAGATGGATTGATTGATTGATTGATATATTAATTGATTGATTGATGGTGGAAAGAAAGAAAGACTGATAGTAAGATAAATCATTTTTAAGATACTATTTAAAATTTTAGCAAAAAGATGATGAAAAATATGTTTTCTTCTTTTAATTATCAAAGATTTTATTCAATTTAAACAATCAATTATGGTAAAAACCATGTTTATTTAATAAATAAATAGATCAAGTTTTAAGACAATATCTAATTAATTAATTGCAAAAAATAAAAAATATATAATCAAAAAGTAATATTTCTTCTTTCTTTTATCCTAATGAATTTAAATGTATACAACATGGATCGATATAAAGTTAAAATATTTTTATTAAGAATATATAAAAGTATGTTTGCTTATTTACTTATTTATTTATTTGTTGTTTTTTTGTTCATTTGTTTAATTAATTTATTCATTTGTAAAATTGCAGATTAATTATAATTAATTTTTGTTAATTTTGAGCCAATCAACTTTTATGAAGTTAAAGTGGATTAAAAGATATAATTAAATGTAAGTTTAAAATTATTAAATGACTCATTCTTTCATGCATGTACTAGTTGAAAATTCAAATTATATAATCACTGTTCTATTATTTACTGAAAGTCTTAATAAAAGTTGAATTTTAAATTTTGCCAATGAGAGCACTCATAAGACAGATGGATTTGCTGGTTAATCAATTAATTGATAATTAGATAGATAAATCATCACCTTAATTCAGATATAAAAGAACTTTTTTGTGTAAACTAAGATATATTCTTCATATTGTCAACTTAATCTCTGAATGTTTAAGCTACTGATTTTTTTAGGCTAAATTTTACACTTGTACTAGATTTTCGCAGATAACTCGCATTCATTTTTAAGATTGGGCTGCAATTAGGCGATTATTGCTTTTGAAATTTCGTTAAAGGGCTGTTAATTTTAGATTTTTTTACAGGACTTTTTAACTCTGTTTCAAAATTTAGCAAGTCTTCTACTTTTTCCTTATAAGTCCTTCCAATCCTAAATTATTCAGAAGATTCTGTTCTTACGCTTACGCTGGAATTATATTAAGTTATTGCTGAGCTCGAGAATAAATTTCTTCTATCAGAATTTTATTTTGGGGAAGCAAATGTTTAAATTTATGAGCTTGTACTTTGCTTACTATTGAAACTACTTTTGAAGCTCCTATAATAAATTAATGAAAAAATATAAATTGATTTTAAATAAAAAATATATGTTTATTATTTTACTTTTATGATAAACTATTTATTTAATTGTTGCAAAAATACTGATCATCGTCTCCTTCTAAATTATAAAATCCAGATAAAAGAGCTTATTCAGCAGATATTCTTTTAACTGGGTTTATTTGTAGCATGCCCTTTATGATTTTTTAAACTATTAATTTACAAAATTTTAATAAATAAACCAAATATTTTCACATGTAAATAAATACTTTATAAGGGATATTAAGCTATCTGTGAAGACGATAAATCTATTTTAAATTTTTTATTTTCAATAAGAGTTTGTTCAACTGTTTTTCCGCTGAAAAGAGGTTTTCCAGCAACTCTTTATTAAATTAAAAAAAATAATTACAATGATAAAAAGATAGATAAAAATAATTATTTTTACAATCTGTAAAAGAGCAAACCACATGAGAACATATCAGTTTTTACTCCACAATCTTTGCCATCCCTTGAATTCAAAACTTCTGGAGCAATATATCCTGGTGACCCGCATTTAGGTAAAACAAAGTCTTAATAAAGCTTTTTATAAAATAATATTTACAATTTATTCAAAAACAAACCCTTTAAAAAATTAATTTATAAATTATTCATTCAAATTATTTTTTAAATCAATTTTTTATTTTGAAAAAATATTTTAGAAAATTTTTATTTAAAAATTAATTAAAAATGTTTATTTACATCTTATGCAAATCCGATATCAGCTATAACAATTTCAAACGAGTTGGGATCTTTCAGTAATATGTTTTCAGGTTTTAAATCTCTATGCATAATATTTAATGAGTGAATGTACTAGAGTCCTTATAAAATTTATTGCATGATAAAACAAGCATCTGCCAATTTAATTGATTTAATCTACTACAACCTACATTCTAAAGTTTTACCGCTGTAATACTCTAAGACAATTTTATATGCATTATCAGTTTCAAAGTATTCTACTCCTTTCAATATGTTTTTATGCTCAAGTCTGCGCAACAAATTTATCTCATTCATCAATTCTCTCTATTTAATTTAAAATGAAAGATTCGTTATTTTTTAGCCTAATCAAATACTTACTTTGTTTTATAAGCTACTATTAACTCTGTTCTTAGATATGTTTTTTACAGCAAATTTTTTTCCAGTTACTTTGTGTCTTGCCAATGAGACCTGTTTTTATTATTATAATCAAATAATTAATTAGTTTTTTTAAATTTGAATGAAATTTTTTTGAAATTTTACCTGTGAGTAAGTTCCATTTCCAATTAGATCTATTATATCATAAGAAGAATAAAAGTCGTTCTTAAAAATTATTTTGTTGAGTTAATGATCAACAAGGGCTATTTCTTGTTCAGACATTACAATATAAGTATGAATTTAATTTTTTTAAAATTTTATGTAGTTAATTCCCTTAGCTCTATCAAAATAAGTGTTATATTAAATTTCTTCATTGAGTTAGATAAAACAGACGTTTGTTTCTTACTATTTTTTTTAATAAAAGATAAAATTAGAAAATGTTTTAATTTAAATAAAATATTTCGAATTTTAAATTATCTTTTTAATTATTACAATGCAGTAAATTAATTTCTGTTCATATATTTTTAAAACTCCATTTTAATTTTAGTCCTAAGAATTTTCTAAGCTATCACAAATATAAGCTGAAACATGGAAAAGCTCTTTTTCAGCATCCAATGATGGAATTGTTTTTACCCAAAAACTATGTTTGTTCATTGTTACTTATTTAAATTTTGAATATTATTGCTATTATTGGTTATAAATTTTGAATTCTAAATTATTTTTTTTATAAATATAAATTATCTTAATCTTAATTTGAGTTTTCTTTATTTAAAAACTCTGAAATAGAAAATAATTTAATGAAATAAAAATTATTAGATGCAGGAATAGAAATTAATTTTTATAAATTTCGAGTTCAAAATGTAAGAAAAAAAACTGATTAAATGAAAAATATAAAATAAAAAATTATTTTTATGCTTTTTATTCATTTATTGCTAATTAGATATTTATTCTACTTAAATAATATCCAAATAAGCTAATTTATTTCAATCCTTGCTACTAATTAAAAACAATTGAATTTGATAAATAAACGTTGATGTTATATGAATCTAAATATAGCTAGTAATATTTAATTTGGTGCTTTTGTATATTGAATAAGTGAATATAAAAAATATAATGTGAATAAGAGCTAGCTTTTTAATCTATGATCAAACTACATAAAAATCCTTGTAAATAATTTAAAATTGAGAATAGAAAACAAAAATATAAATTTCGATAAGAAATAAATAAATAATAAAAAAGGGCTGGCTATAATTAAAAAACAAAAGATTTTTATAATAAATTAAAAATTAACAGATAACCAAAAAGTATTTATTTTGCTTATTATTTTTATATAATTCAAAAGTGTATAATTAATAAGAGCTATCAAATTGGTTGTAAAGCAAACTCAAAAGTGCTTTAAATATTTAAAAATTTTAGTATTTCATAATAAATTTACATAAAAATAAGCATTTTTTTTCAGAATGCATTTAAAGTGATTAAATTGACTAATTTCTTTTATTTTATCTACATTATAAAAGCTATAGAAATACAAACATCTTCATCATTCTCGCCATAAAAATAAATATATTAACATTAAATAATGGCCTAATTTTAATTTTAAGAATAATAAAAAATGTTATATTATAGGATTAACTATATTAGCTATGAAATTATAAATTTGCATTATAATATGAATTATTTAAAGAATGATTCAAAATAATATTAAGAGCTTCAATTTAATTTCAAATAATTTTAAAAAGCTCTTTTTTGCTTTTGTAAAGTCTACTTTGAACTAATTTTAAAAAAATGGAATTTAAATACAATTAATTACATCAATTTTTAAATTATTTCAGCTTATCATTTGCTACTTCTTTTTAAATACAATAAAATATTTAAAATATTCAAGTTTTCTTTTTTATTCAAATAATTTTTTTAAAAAGTCAAATGACATTTTTTTATAACACTTAAATCATATTGAAAAAATTTTATTAATAATTTTTTAAGTAAAAATAATGTCCAAATTATTTGTTTATTTTTGTTAAGTATTTATTTTTTAAGTATTTATTGGTTTATGATTTAATTAATATGATAGATATTTATTACATATTCTTAAAAAATTATTAAATATAGAAGATATTTAATTTATTTTCTATTTATTATAAAATCAAAAATGAAATAATTATATAAATAGTTGATTATGCTTATGTATTATTAAAATATCAGTAGAAAAAAAATTTTTAGGAAATTTATTAAAATTTTTAACTAGTTTTTTTAATATTTATAAGGAATTTAATTGAATTTATTAATATATATTGTATGTAAATAAAATTAATTAAAACAAATTTCAATAAAATTAGACATTTTTATCTTTAAAATAAATTTATTTTTTGATTTTAACTTTTCGATAAATTTCAATATAATTTTATTTAATTAATTTATTTATTTACAGTGTTATAATTATTATTATTAATGTTCTATTATTATTTATTTTTTTTAATTGATGGTTTGAGTTATTTATTATTTTAAGTCAGTGATTTTTTCATTTTGCTGTGTTATGTTTTCCTTAATCTTCTTATAAACTTTTTTTAGGAAATGTTATCTTATTTCCATCTGATATAATTTTCTTGGCTCCTGTATTAATTGGGCTATCTAGAAGTGTATGGTGATCCAAAAGCTTAATTTTACTTATTTTTTTAGTGTCAGGGCTTACTTCTTTACTAAATCTTTACTTTGTAGGAGAGTTTTTTCTTTATGACTTAAACTATTCTTCTTTACTTTAAATATGCTTTTTTTATTATTATTCCGTTACTTCTAACGAAGTTTATTTGCAATATTGAGATTTTCTAACATCCTACTTATCTTTATTGGTTGCATTAGAGGTTGGTGTATTAGGTAAAGAGTTGTTACTACTCATGGAAGAACAAGATCCTTTAGGAGTGTTTATACCATTTAGAGAGTTATTTAACATGCCTAAATTATGTATCTAAACAGATTACCTTTATTTGTGAGGATTTTAACTATTTAGTTTTGTATGCTCTATTTAAGTTCCTGTATTTTTTCTTTGATGAAGCTTTGCTCTTAAAAAAAATTTTTAATTTTAGAGATAAATTTTGAAATTTGGTTATTGCTTTTGATAGCTAAAAAAAATGGAGTTTGAGAATTAAGTAGAATTTAATCGATAAAGTATTCAACATTGACTAAATATTTAAATCATAACAAGTAAATAATAATGAACAAAATATTTACTTTTATAAGTTTTTGCAAAAATATTATTGTTGTTCTGCATTGAGTCTATAAAAAAAAGAGTCCAGCGCTTCTTAAGCAGAAATTCTTTTTTCTGGATTAATTTAGAGCATATTTTCAATAACCTTTTATACTGATAATTTATGTTAAAAACTATATTAATGAGCATTTAATAAAAGAATTTATTTATTTATTTCTTACTTTACTAGGGTAGTTTTTTAAATTCTGTAGAAGATAAATCTATTTTGCACTTTCTATTCTCTTCTAACACTTCTACATGAGATTTACCCTCAAATAGAGGCTAACCCATAACTCTTAATTAAAATGAAGAAAATGTTAATAGTAATAATTTTAATCACAAATTTTACAATCTATAAAAGAGACATCCGCAAGAAAAGATGTCACTCTTAACTCCATAGTCAGTGCCAGTAATTGAATTTAAAATTTCAGGAGCTACATATCCTGGTGTTCCGCATTTTTTAAAAACAAAATTTTCATTCACCTTTTATTATAATATAATATTTAGTAAAACAATCATACAAATTTAATGAATTATATTATTTATACATCTTGAGATAGCCCCATGTCACTAATTACTACATCAAATGACTCTTTGTCAAAGAACAAAATATTATCTGGTTTTAAGTCTCTGTGCATGATATTATTTTAGTGGAGATAAGAAAAGCCTTAAAGAATTTATCTCATCATATCACATATTTAGAATAACGTAAAACCCTTCGATTTCTCAAGTTTTTACTCCAGCGAACCTCCTTCGTAGTAATGCAGCACGAGTTTGTATTAGCTTTCAGTCTAAAAGAACTCATATGACTTTACAACCTTTTCATGGTTGATCCTGCGGAGAAGATTTATTTCGTTCATCAGCTCTTTCTTTTATATGAAAAAAAATAATAATTAAAATGTTTAAAAATACTTTTAACTAAAGTTCTCAAAAAAAAGTCCTACCTTACTTTACTCATTTTATACAACCCTATTTTTTTAAATCGATTTTACTGCATAATTTTTGCTGTCTCTTTTATTTTTTGCTAAAGTAACCTAGAAATTTATAAAGAGAAGTCTGTATGTATTAATTTAAATTTTTAGGCAAAATGAATGTATTAATTAATAATTGAATAAAAGCTACTTATGAAAAGCTACCATTTCCAACAAAACTTATGACTTCGTAGCTATCTGAAAAATCCTACTTAAAAATTATGTTTTTGAGTAGTTTATCAACTTAGTCTAGAGCATCTGGACTCATCTTTACAAAAGTTTCTTTTCCAAATTTGCTCAGCTTCAAGTAGCATGCGTCATCATTGTACAAAGTAGAATAAGTTAATTATTCTAAAATTTTTATGAATGCAGTAACAAATCCTTGCTAAATATTTATAAAAAATATTTATCGATAAACATAAAATTGTAAACTCAAAAAAAAATAAATATTTATCTTTTTAGTTCATTCTATTTTTTATAAAACAATATATTTACCTAAGAAAATGTTATTTTTTCTTAATTGACTCTAATGAAGCCTTCTCCAAAAACAGATGAGAATGGGTCTTTAGAGTCAGAAATCTATCCTGCAAATTAAACAGTATCTTGATCATAATCTTTACAATTATTACAAACAGTCCATACTTAAGGATTAGCATGATTGTTCTGAGTAATCGTTTAGCTTTACATACTCAATAATTTTTATGAGACTTGCTTTCTTGTTATTTCTACTTTCAATATTAGATTAATTTTGTGATTTCTTTTTAATTAAATTTTGTAAAAAAACTAATAAGGTTTATCAAGAAATAATATACTAATTAACATAATTGTGTTGCTAATAAAACTTAACTGGAGCAACTTAAATAACTGGTATACATAATTATAAAATTAATTACTATATAAAAACATAAAAAAAGAATCACAAATCCAGCCAATCAGAATAGATAATTATATTTATTTTAATTATTTATAGTGATGTTTTTTTTCCCTCTGTAGAATTTGTTTTTTTATCGTTTTTAAAATTTATTTTGATCTCTAATATTTCTAACTAAAAATACTATCTTTATCTTTCAAAAATAATTTTTTTAAATCTAATATAAAATTCTGATACAACAAAATAATTACTTCTTACCAAAAATTTAAAAATAACTTTATATACATTTTAAATTAATTTATCAATTGGTTTTATATTTCAGAAAATATTCATTTTTAAAACATTTAAACTAATATGCTTTGTATTTATTCGTTAAAAGCTTTGCTTTCTGATCTTTATTATTATTAGCACTAACAATAAAATCTCTATTCAGTTATCTCAGTTAGGATAATTAGTAAAAAGTTTCTAACTAGTCTTTTAAAATTTAAATATTTAGAAGATACAATTTAAATTGTCATTCATATATTTTTTTACTTTTTTCTAAATAAATAAAAATTAAATTTAAATATTTTTATGTATAATGATTGGAATTTGAGAATATTTTAGTAAATTTTAATAACTTTTTAGTCTCTATTAAAAACTTAGAAAAGTATAAATCTTTAATTTTTTTTAATTTCAGTTAACTTTTGACTTACGAATATTTTTTTATTATATATAAATTTGAGGGGTAGATAAAAAAATACATATTTAAGAGTAGATATAAAATATTGAAATAAGAGGATAGGTGTGAGTATCTCAACTAATACTTAATAAAAATTTTTCTTAAATTTTCAATTCACTTTAAAAGTGAATTATGAAATTAAGTATGAATATGTAATTACTCATTAATTGCTCATAAAAATAAGGAAAAAAGAGTGCTTTTTATAAGAATCTGAAAGAATGGATTTCTAAAATATCGCTCTTATTGATGAAGTCCCTTTTTTTATACTGAAACTTTAATAAGCTTGATTCATAGCATGGAGGATAAAACTGTCAAATGGAAACAAAATCAATATAATTTTAGATTAATTCATTTCATAGCATGCATTAGCTTTAAGGAGATCAATATATACATTTCAGATAATAAAGAAAAAATATTAGTAAACTGAAAAATAAAATAAAATAATTAAGATATGTACCACAATAGTATTTATTTACTATTGTTTATAGAAAAGAGTCAAGTATTTTTTTTATTTATATAATAAATTATAATAGTTTTAATATAAATTGAATTAATTATTGAAACAAACGTATAAAATATTTTTTAATATTAATTTTTAGTTTTTTATTTATTTGTGCATTTACTTATTAAAATAAAAAAATAAAGGATAGCTGTATTTTTTTTCTTAAAAGTGCTTAGTAATTTAGTAATAATTAAAGAGTGTTTGTTTGTTTGTTTTAATTAAAAATATTCACCTCTACCTACATTTATTAAAGTTCAAATTAAAATATTTGGAAATTTTTTAGACTTTTATTTAATTATCTATATTAATTTTTGAATAGAGTAGAAAAATAAATGAATATAGAATAAAAATAATCGCCTAATTGAATAAGAATCAGTATAACCTTGTCACATTTTTTTATTTGTAGCTAATACGAATTCATCAAAATTCAAAAATTTAATATAAAACCTAATGTAATAAAAAAATGGTTAGGAAGTATTTACCTTAAAATAAAAGTAGAATTCACTTATTTAAGAAAAATACTGATACAATTTCTTTTAATATAAAAGAAAAGTGGGTGCTAAAGCCTTTTTGTATTAGTATTTTAACTAAAAATTGGAATCTGTTTACTATCATGGTTTTTAATGTAGAGATAGATAAATTGTATTTAATTTAATAAATATCAAAATCATTCAGATTTATTTGATTGTTTTGCAAAAATAAAAGCGATCAATTAAAAGATATAGAGATCAGCAAAGTGATTTGTTCCCTAAATTTCAATTGAAGCATACATTGTATAATGAATACAAAATCAGATGTTTAAAATAGTAAAATCTAGCAGAATCAATAAAAAATGAAAAACTAACAATTACAATATATCGAATTATAAAAATTAGATAACTTAAGCTCTCCCTCAAAAAGCTAGGAGTCTGAGCAAATACTAAACTAGATTAACGAGGCTCGTCACTTTAAAAAAGATGGAGGATATAAATAGATTAAATAACTTTTGAAAAGCTAGGAAGAACATAACTTAGCAGGAAGCTCTTTTAATGAACCAAAGGTGTACAGACCCTTCTAAGTTCCACCAGACTTTGAATAAGCGCGCCTCCATGGGTAGGCAAAAAAAATTGGCAAAATAAGCAGATACACAAAGCTGTTAGAAAGTGGCCAGTGTTGCATCTGCTGTAAATTACCATTCAAAAAGATTCCTTTTAAAATCAAGGAAAGAATAGAAAAGTTTGCATCATTAGGACCAGCATTCACTTTATTCTTTTATTACAATAAGCAAATGTCATTTATTCTAATGCTTGTCTTTTTAGTTGGAGGATTGCAGTAATAAATTTATCAATTCATATCCACAAATATTCCATTTATCCAATTAAATATTATTAATCAATGTAAATCAAAGAAATATCTCATCAAAAATTTATTTTATTTTTAAGGAATTTGATTGACACCTACAAATCATGTGAAAATTCAGATGTTTGCTAGAGTTTTATGGGAATTATTTATTCTAAATAGACATAAAGAAATTGTTACAATGACTTTTTTACTTAGCAGCTGCTTAACTTTATAACTTTTTGGGTATTATTTTTTGGAGTGATTATTTTCAAGATATTACAAGATGCAAAAGATAAATAAATGAAGAAGAAAATGCCCAATCATAGCGATTTTACAATCATGATAAAGAATGTGCCTGAAACAAATTGTGAGGAAGAATTTAAATCATTCTTAGAAGAAAAGTTGCTTCCAAATAGAAAACTAGACATAGCAAACATAAATAGAGTATTCAAAATTTAAGAATATTTTGATTTAGCTTAAGAAAAAATCAAATTAGTTAATGAAAGAGAGAAGCTAAAAAGAGAGTTAACACGTCTTTCTGAAAAGGTTTAAAATGAATATAGATTCAATTTAGACTCATAAAATCTCTCCGAAAGTAACCAGCAAGGATTACTTTAAAAAAAATAGTTGAAAAAAAGTATGAAAAAATTAAATAAAGATTATATGGAAAAAAAAGAAACCAATGAAAGTCAGTTGGCTAAAAACTAAGCTAGAATGACTTATCTTGAAAGTAAATATTAAGACTATTCTAGCGAAGGAATAAGAACTGCAATTGTTTTCGTTACTTTTAACAAATTTGAGGATTGCCAAGCTGTTAAAGATAAATATTTCAAGCCTGGTTTTAAAAATAATTTAAGTTTCAAAGGAAGATTATTAAAGTTTAGAATAGCTTTTGAGCCTTTAGACATCATTTGGGAAAATCTAGAAACCCCTTATAGGACAAAGCTTTTGAGAAGATCCATTTTTCTTTTGATGGCTGTAATTTAAAATATTAAATTATAATTGCACAGTTTATTTGCAAAATCATTTAGCTTTTAACTGCTAATTTTCTAATTAATTACCATAAATTTTTTTTTTTTTAAAGCTAAAAAATATTTTCGAATTTTAAAAATGGTTTTTCATTTAAGAAATTTTTGATGGAATTTAAAAAGCTTTTAACTTTATGTTTGTTTTTTTAGATTTTATATTATATAAATATTTTTATTTTTTAAATAGCTTTTGCTCACAACTGGTAGTCTTGTAGCCGTTTCTTCTGTTTCATAATGGCAAAAGTCTCTTATTAAGGAAAAAAATGAAGGCTAGATTACTGAGAAAGACTTTAAAGATAGCATGGCTTCTTATGCTCTTTCTGTCTTTTGTACTGTAATTGTAGCAACAATTAACAGTTTATTAACAATAATAATAACATTATTCTCAAAATATGAAAAACATAATACATTTACATCTACTTCTGTTTCAGTAAGCTTAAGACTAAGCTGGATCTAATTTATAAATACAGCTCTTGTACCTTTTGTAATACTGCTGATTCTTTCTCCTTCTGAGAATTTATAAGACCAAAATGATTAAGAATTCTTATAATATGTTATTCAAAATATTTTTTTCATTTTTATTGGAAATGCTATTTTTGTTCCTCTTGTAACTATGTATGAACCAGAATACCTCTGGAAGAAAATATATCGTTGGTGGGTAGTTAGAAATGCTCCTTTTTGTAGAAAGACTTAATAATAACTAAATGAAATATTTGAAGACCCTGAGTTTTTAATTTAAGAGTACTATGCAATAGTGAACAGAATTATATTATCAGGCTTTTTTTATGCAACTATGCTTAGTTTGGGCATTTTAATTAAAGGAATTACAATGATAATGCTTTTTTGGGCCTTTAAATTTACTTTTATTAATCACTCAGCATATCCAAAGTGCCTTTCCAGCGGTTTAAATTCTTAAATGCAACAAGTTATGTTCTTTATACCAATTATATTCACTGTTGGAAACCTTATGTATGGAAAATTCTTCTTAAAGTGTGAAAGCTCAAATTTATTTACTACATTCAATATCATTCAAATCACTTTCGGATTTCTCTTAATTATTTTTCATAGTATATTTGTTACTTTGGCTGAGAGATTTCACAAGTCAAAGATAAATTTTGAGAATTATATATTTGAGAAATTAGTTATGGGTTTAAGCTACTAACAAGCAAATCCTATCACAAGAGCTTTTAATCCAGAAAATAAGCATATTGAAATGCTGCCATCAAAAGAAATGCAATCATCTCTACTTCTGGATAATTCTAATGAATAAATAGGGAAATCTAACCACTCCTAAGTTTTGGTGGAATCTTTAAAATAGAAAACCGTCAACATAAGATAAAAGGCATAACTCAATATGCAAACAAATAATTTAAAATCATCTTCCGTCGAATTATAGAAAAGTCTTAAGGATAGTTTAAAAATTTAAAACTTTAATTCTATAGACTAAGCATTACCATTATCTCCTTAATAAGTTGTTTTATCTAATAACTACACTTCTAATTCTATAATTGATTATGCCTTTACAAATATTTTATTAAGAAGAGAAAGAGAAAATCAAATTATTAGTGCTGCTTTTGAAAGAAAGAAGACTATGCTCATCCGTAGAGGGAGCTTAGGAGCTGATCATATTTTTAATGAGTCATAAAATGAAGAAGAAGAGGATGACGATGATGAAGATGAAGACATTATTGAAGACGAAGATTTATTAGTAGAAAATCATGATGTAGAAAAAAACAAAAATACAGAAAACTTATAAAGCAATTAATCAGAAGTTAGCATTTAAAAAAATAATTTATAATATTGAATATTTTTAAATATTAATTTTAATTAATTTTTATATTTTTAAATCTATATTAAATCATATTAAAGTTGTAAATAATATTTGCTTGTACAAAATTTAACACTTAAAAAATGGTTTCTTTATTTTATTTTTACTTTTTTGATGATTAAAATAAATGTATTTTGAGTAGTTTTACTTAAATTTTTTAATTAAATAAACAATAAATAAAGATAAAACAGATAGCTTTTTTAATTAGTAAATATTTTATTTTAAAAACTTTCAAAATCTGAATAAATTTTTAAAAACAAATTAATAGTATTTATTTAGAAAATAATATTCTACCTTATTTGAAATTTAATATGAATAAAATAGTTTGAAATTTTTGATTTAAAATACTTGTTTTTTTTAATTATCTTAGTTTAAAACACTATAGTTAACTTAGTCTAAGAAAGCTAGAAAACTTGGAAAGACTCAAATAGTACAATTTTTAATACATGATTATTGAGCTTTTAAATTTTTTTTTCTTCTTTTATACCTAGTATTTAGTAAAATAAACAAAGTGGAAATTAATTTAATTATTTATTTATTTATTAGTCGTTAGAAGAAATTAATCTTATCCTTAAGGTTTATTTAGAATTTCAAATTTGTGTGTATTATTTATATATATCAAATCATAAAAAAGGTGAAAAACAACATAAAACTAAAAAATCAAATATAGTATAGTTTAGAGTTATCATTAAAAATATTTATCAATAAAGTAAGTCTAACTAATTAAATATGAACGCTCCTATAACTATTAGTCATAGCAGTAAATAATTCGCAACAGCTGGGTACGATAGCTAAAATTTTGATATTCAATAATAAAGCGATAATGAGTAGAAATAGCAATAAATACTTTAATAATAGTGCTGTGCTTTCTGTAAAAGGGTGGCAATTAAGCCTATCAGCTTGATTTGCAATCATTTTCTATGTTTAGAATGTGGGAATTTCATAAAAGAATAAGAATAGGAAAGGTAATAAATAATTTTTAGACTTCTATCAATCTTTTTGTAGATAAATATATTTCAAGATCATTTTTGATCAATAAGATCAATTAGATCGATCTGTAATTTAATCGATATTGCTTACCTTTTTACTTTTTAAAAATATTTTGAAATAAAGTAAAGGATTATGTAAAATAATTTATTGAGAAATGAGTAAAGTTAAAATAAATACTAAAATATTATTATTAAAAATAAATAAATAAAATCTAACAACACAATTTTAATTAATATTTTAATAAAAATAAGTGGGGTATAACCAAAATACAGAGTTTCTTGTCCTGTTTGCTCATCAAATACAGTGACTTATAATGTTAAAAATCTTTTGGTACAGCATTTTAATGAAAAAACAGGAAATGAAGTCCCTTTGAAAATTCTATCAGTTCAAGCATCACCAGGCTCAAAGATAAATTTAAGGAAAAGCAGTTTAACTTAACAGTAATAAATGGTTAATGGAAATAAATCAAGGGATCCCTCTATCACTTAAGAATCGTGCTATAATGTAAAAACTACATAAGATACTAATAATATCAAGTATTAATATTAGAATAATAAATCTATGAATTCTTTGGAATACTAAAGTCAAACTTAAAGACTCTCATAAAGTTTTAGTAAATAAAATAATTTAAATTAATAAACAGATAAAACACTCGCCTTGAGTACATCTCAATCTGCCATAAGAAATTAAAGCTTAGGAACTCCTTTTAGCACAAATAAAAATGGTAGCTGTATTCCTCTCTAAAATTCTCCTTAAAATTGCAATAATTATACTTATTAGAGTCAAAATAATAATTTTTCTGAACCTTAATTTTTTACAAATGAATATAATAATAATAATATTTTATTAAGAAGAAATAGCAGTAGCAATGTGAATAATTATGTTAACTGCCTCAATAACATGTTTAGTAATTCAAATAATAACTTAGGATAATCAATATAAAATAATTATATCAATGACTATAGAAAATAAGTACCTTTGTAGAACTAAGCTTAATCAAAATAAATATAATAAGACTATTAGAATAGTTAAAGTGGAATGAACGTAGACATAAAGAAACAAAATATTTAGTAATATTCTGATCAATTAAAGTGTTAATAGCATAATGATCAATATACTTTGTTCTGTTTATCAGATAAGTCCTTACTTTGCATTGAGTGTCTTTATTCTTAAAAAACTCATAAGGTAAATTTTTTAAAACAATTTTGAAAAAATGAATATAAATTTTATAAAAAGAATCACAATATCATACCTCTCAAGAATGCTGCATAAATATTAAAAAAAGAAAATGAAGAATTCAAGAATTAATCAGAAATATACTTAAAGAAGTTAGAAGATTCAATACAAATTTCTAAATAGAATTAAATTACTCTTGACAGAGAATACTAAAAATGCAACTAAAAAGTAAATGAGATATTTGATAGCATGATAGCTACCGTTAATGCGAGGAGAGATAAACTGTTAGAAAATCTTTAACATAGCTACTAAATCCACTTAAATGATGTAGGAAATTAGTATTGTGAATTAGAAAATATTAAAAATATTTTAGAAGAATACAGAAATTTTGATGAGTAGATAGCTGAAAATTCTTATAGGGAATCATACATTTTTAGTGCTTTCAAGATGATTTAATAAACTCTTCAGCAAACAAATTTAGATTAGAAACCGATAAAAGTCAATTTTAACATCACGCAAATAGAGAATAGTCATAAACAGCTTTTTAACAAACTCATTGAGAAAATTGTATAACTTTAAAGTACAAAACCTGAAGAGCGCTTAAACCAAACAAGATAAAGCAAAAATATTGAATAAAATTCATAATTGACCTCAAATTAAACTTCCTCAACAAAGCAAAATAATAGCTCAAATTATTCAGCATATGCTCCACCTTCTCAAAATAGTATTACTAAAGATACAACACCTAAAAACTATCATCAAACCAATAATAATATTTAAAAAAGAAATATTCAAATCAACTAAAACAATAGTTAGTCTATAACAAATTCTGCTACATCTTCTCACAATGGAACTCAGAGAGGTAGCAATAGTAAATAAAAGGGATACACAACTACCAGTTATTCTGAAAAAGTTTAAAAGAGGCTTAGCACTTAAGCTAGCTCAAAAGTATCATATAAAAATATTAAAAGAAAATTATCCACAGATTTTAATACAATGAATACGAATAACTCAAAAGAAAATATTCATGTTTACCCTTAATATTAATAGTAAATAAAACATCACAACTATGACAATATTAAAAGGAGGTCTAATAGCATTGCTGAAGACGCTATTAAATATCAATAAGTAAAATTAACTTAGGAAATTCAGCAAAGCTACGATTTGAATTTAAAGTAATAGACAAGACAATCCTTAAAATAGATAAAAAATGATTTCGAAAATCAAGGTAATAATGTAGGTGGTGGTGGTGTTGGTAACTATTATTATGGAAATGTGTTTCTCTAAGAAAATTATAGTTAAAATAATTATTAAACAATTGCAAAAGATACAACTGTAAATACAACAAATTTAAGCTTAAATCGATCCCCCTTTAAAGAATATATTATTAACTGAAAATAAATTTTATATGATAATTATCTCTGTTAAAGTTATACAAATAATTTTAGTTAATTTTAAATAAAATTAAGTAATTTATATTTTAGCAATATCTATTCTAAAAATATGTAATTAATTGAGTGAATGGGTATAGGTTCTTTTAAAATAAAATATTATTACTTTTGAGTAAATTTTAAATGATATTAATAAATATTTGTGTTTAAATGAAGTAAATGTGTTTAATCAATTTAAATTTAAATAAGAAATTTATTTTTTTTAAAATTGAATATGCTCTTTTCTAAATATGAATGGTAAATTTAGTAATTAATTGATTGATTAAGTGAATGAGTGGAGGAATTTTCTCTGGTGATTGATAAATACATAATAAGACTTATCTTTCAATAGAATTTTAATATAAATTTAAAAATATTTAGTAGCTTAATTTTTTGTGACTTTTCTACTGTGAGCTTAAACTATTCTTTGCAATAACAAAATATTTGTCGATTTCATAAAAATATTTTTGAAAAAAAATGCTTGAAAATATTTTTTAAGCAAATATATTAAAAGGCATTTATTTACAATAAATTTTAATGGGTAAATAATTAAAAGTATTTGTCTTTTGTAGTTTTGTAGGATTATTTTAATATCGAGAAAAAAGAAAAGAAAGTAAATTATTTATATGTATGTGAGAAAAGGAATTTTTTTGAAAGAGTTATTTATTTAGTTTGAAATATATTTAGTTAATTAGGTAATAAGTTAGTTAGCTATTCACTCACTCACTCACTCACTCATTTACTTACTTACTTATTTACTTAATTAATTAGTTAGTTAGTTATTTATTTAATATATACTGAATAGAATATAAAATAGTTTATTTGCAGATATAAAATTTAATGATATAGTGAGATAGAAAAGAAAATATAGAAATTTATTTCATTTAAAATATACTGAAAAAACAAAACTTTTAGGAAATCTCATTTGAAGCACATCCCGATTTTCAAATTAGCATATGGATTAAGATTTGTGTGGGTATATTGATATTAATTATTATTTAGTACTTTTGATTGATTTTTGTTTGTTTGTTTGTTTATTTTATTGCTTGCTTGTTTTAAATATTTATTTAGTATGTGATTAATTAATTTATTAATGGATTAAGCTTTTATAACTTGAGGTTTTTTTCAAAAAGCCGTCCTTTATTATTATTTAGATTAGGGTAATAAAAAACTAAATTTGTTTGCTTTTAACTTTTCAAGATATATTTGTTATTATAAATCTAGAGTTAGAGGTTATTATTTAATTGCTTGCTGAGGAAGGTAGTACTGTGGTATAGGTATATGAGGCTAATATTCGTTTTAACGCTTTAAATATTATAAATTATATTAGTTGTTGAATGGAGGGAAAGTTCTATAGTAGTTGCTACGATATGGTTCAGTCATTATGGGGGGAGGATAGGTATATGGATTGATATTTTATGTACTAATTGGCTAAGTCAATTCGAAAGAATTAAAAGGACTAGAAAGTGTTGCTTGACTCTATAAATATGTTTCTTCGCTTCTTGTTATGGAAGAATCTTTAATGTGTGTAGGTAATTATCCATCGTTTTGTTCTTGTTTTACCTATATATTATCTTTTATGGGCATATTTTCTTGCTTAACTTGTACTACAATTTCGTTTTCTTTAACTTATTCATCTTCGTGTTCGGTATTTGTGCTTTCATAATTAGAAATTTGCTAATCTTTTTCATCATTATATTCTTCTTTAACTTAATCGTTTTTTTCAATTTTTATCTTTTTTTTATCGTAGCTGGCCTTTTTTCTACCTTTTTCGAGTACATCTGGTTTATATTCTTCACAAGACTTGTGTACAAGTCTCCAATGATTTGATAGAGCTCCTCTGCTTGCTAAAGTTGATCCACACTTACAAGGATAGGCGACTCTTTTTACTTTAGTTCTTTTAATTTGAACTTCATTCTTTGTTCCTAGCGGTCTTCCCATTTTTAAAATATTTTGCTTCATTCCCAAATCGTTGTCATGTTTTAGACGGATATGATTGTAAAGAGAAGAGTTAGTGAAGTATTTTTGCCCACACTTGCATGAATATTTATCCATTTTATCAACTTATTAAGATTAAGTTCACAAACAAAAGAGTTTAATAATATGATTGGCTTTTAGTGAGGATAATTAATTAATTAATTAGTTAAGTGATAAATAATTTGAAATATACAATTTTTGGAAAAAAAATTATTATTTAATTATCTTAATAATAATTAATTTGTTCAATCTAGAAGAATTTATTAATCTTTATCAACTCGATAACTGTGTATTTAACTCAATTCTTTCATTAAATTTAAATTTACATTTTTGTCACATTGTTTTGTTAGAATTAGATTTTTATGTTTAATTTTATCTAAATTAATTTTAAAAATATTTTTGTTCAAATTTTTAAGTTAATTAAAAGCTATCTCTACTAATTTATACTAATCAGAAAATCTATAAAATTATTCAAAAAAAGCACTATTTTGCAAAATTTTAATTAACAAATTAATTAATAGATTTTTCTTTGAAGCTTTTGTTTTTATAGTGGCAATTATATATTGATTTTATATCACTTTGTTTAGGATCTATCTTTCTATCATTCAATTAATCTATCTTTTTTAATTAAAGATTTGCTTAACACACAAATTCATCAAAAATCAATCAGATTTAATTTGATTAAAAGCAGTGTAATTAAATTTCCCCTCCTCCCAAACTCCCAAATGAGATTAGCTTCAATAGAAATGAGGTATAAATATGCTAATAATATTTTATTTCTAAATAATACAAGAAAAACCTTTTGAACTTTCAGAGATAATTCTTTTGGTTTTAGAGTCTCTAAAACAAAAGTAAAGAAAACTGAATTTCATTATTATTATTTATTTTTGTTAAATTGTTTGAAATTATGAAATTGTTTTAAAGTAAAATCCATAATATAAAATGCAGTTTTTTAAGCAAAAGCTTTTTTTAGCAAATTTAGTTAACCTTAATATGATAGAGACAAAAAAATTTGCAATATCCTAAAGTTATTTAGCGAAAAGACCTGATATTCAACATAATTAATCCTCATCATATGTAATTTGAATTTATTATATAATCTTATTATTATCATATTTATTATGATTTAAGAATGAGTATTGTGGTTCTTATTTCAAAAAGCAACTATAAATACTTTAGGATTTTAAGAATTTTGATCAATATTTAAATGGTAAAAATCATAAAATGTTAAAAATATTTAGAAAAAAATCTTATTATTAACTGTTCATGATAATGAACATCCATCCATATAATAAAATGCATGGATAAATATTAAAAATAAAATGTTATCATTTCAAGCTAAAATAATTACAAATAATAGAAATTTGAAACAAGACAAAATCACAATATAACATGATCTATAAAAAAAAAAATTTGGTTGTTACAAATTTGAAAAAAAGAATTAATGATTATAATGTGATTAAATAATAAATGATTATTATGTCAAAATCATAATTAAAATAATTAAAAAAAAAATGAGAACAATAGGTAAATTCAGCAAAGTGCAGATACAAAAGTGATATTATAAAAAAAAATAAATATATTTTTAGCAGATTATGAAATATGTACATGTTTTATGCATAAATTTGGAGAATTTTTCTATTATATTTTATTACTGTTTATTAAAACAAAAGTTAATTAAATCTTGTTACTATCTATTTTAAATGGTAAATTTTTACTTATCCTGTTTTTCATAAAAAATAAAAGCTTTTATTGCTAACGTCATATAAGATTAATAGATTCCACACATTCATTAAAAAAATTTTTACATAGATAATCAATTTATTTAGTTACATATATTTTTTTAATATATGAGTTTTGAAAGAAGAAACTAAAAAATACAAAGTTTAAAACAAAAATAATATTTAATAATTTATTTTTATTAGCTAATGATTATTTATTTATTTGTATCTTTTTTTTTGCTTTTTGTTTGATTACTTGTTTTCAAAAGTATGAATGCTATAAATAATCTGATTGATTATTTAAGAAGTAGCTTTCACGAAAATAGTCATCCATAAACATATTATCGTTCTCTATTTAATTTTCGAAATCTCCAACACACTATTGATAGTTAGAATCAAGTTATTATTAATCATACTATTCATCAATAGATGGATAGATATATCTAGTTGTCTAAGTATCCAAAGTGTTAGTATACTATTCTGTGCTCAACTGTGTTGAAAATAGAATCACCTGATTATTGTTTTCACTAACTGATGCAATTAGAGGACCTTTTTTTCTTCCTTATTATTTTTTTTATATTTAAAATTAAGGATCATTATTATATTATTATGCTTAATTCTTATATGGTTAGAAAGAGAGCCTTCGCCTTTAAGAACTTTTCCACATTTACAGGCTAGCTATTTAGCTGGGGTTTTTTTAGGCTTTTTTCTAAGATTTTTCGAATCAAGTGGTCTTCCAACTTTAGTATTTGTTAAGTTAAAGTTTTTTTTGTCGTTGTTATGTTTCAATCTTATGTGATTAAATAAAGAGGCATTTCTTTCATAATTTTTTCCACAACGACATATGAATTTTTTTTCCATTTATTAAATATTTTTTAATTTAGTTTTTATTTTAATAATTATAAATAAAATTAGCAAAGTAATTTGCTCCTACTTAATATAATTTAAGGAATCAAAAATGTGGTCAATAAATAGTAAGGCCTAAAGTATTATTAAGATTAAATTCACAAATCAAAGAATTTAATATTATTATTGGATTTTAGTTAGTGAATGAATTAGTTAAATGATAAATAATCTGAAATATACAATTTTTTGAAAAAATTATTATTTCATTATCTTAATAATAATAATTAATTTGTTCAATCTAGAATCAAAATATATTTATTATCAGCTCAATAACTGTGTATTTAGCTTTTTCTATCTCAAGTCTTTCATTAAATTTAAATTTACATTTTGTCACATTGTTTTGTTAGAATTAGATTTTTATGTTTAATTTTAGCTAAATTAATTTTAAAAATATTTTTGTTCAATTTTTTAAGTTAATTAATTAAAAGCTATCTCTACCTATTTATACTATTCATAAAATCTATACCATGATTCAAAAAAGTACTTTTTTGCAAAATTTTAATTAATAGATTTTTGTTTGAAGCTTTTGTATTTATTGTGGCAATTATATATTGATTTTATACCTCTTTGTTTACTTTTTATCTATCTATCAATTAATTAATTAATTAATTAATCTATCTTTTTTAATTAAAGATTCGCTTAACTCACAAATTCATCAAAAATCAATCAGATTTAATTTGATTAAAAGCAGTGTAATTAAATTTCCCCTCCTCCCAAGCGAGATTAGCTTCAATAGAAATGAGGTATAAATATGAAAAATAATATTTTATTTTCTAAATAATACAAAGAAAAACCCTTTGAACTTTCAAAGAAAATTCTTTTGATTTTAGAGTCTCTAAAACAAAAGTAAAGAAAACTGAATTTCATTATTATTATTTATTTGTGTTAAATTGTTTAAAATTATGAAATTGTTTTAAAGTAAAATCCATAATATAAAATGCAGTATTTTTAAGCAAAAGCTTTTTTTAGCAAATTTAGTTAACCTTAAGATGATAGAGACCAAAAAAAATGCAATATCCTTAAGTTATTTAGCGAAAAGACCTGATATTCAACATAATTAATCCTCATCATATTTAATTTAAATGCATCATATAATCTCATTATTATCATATTTATTATGATTTGAGAATGAGTATTGTGGTTCCTATTTCAAAAGCAACTATAAATACTTTAGGATTTTAAGAATTTTGATCAATATTTAAATGGTAAAAATCATAAAATGTGAAAAATATTTAGAAAAAATCTCATTTTTAACTGTTAATAATAATGAACATCCATCCATATAATATAATGCATATGGATAAATATTAAAAATAAAATGTTATTATTTCAAGCTAAAATAATTACAAATAATAGAAATTTGAAACAAGACAAAATCACAATATAACATGATCAGTAAAAAAAAAAAATTTGGTTGTTACAAATTTGAAAAAAAGAATTAATGATTATAATGTGATTAAATAATGAATGATTATTTTGTCAAAATCATTATTAAAATAATCAAAAAAAATGATAACAAAAGGTAATTTCAGCAAAGTACAGATACAAAAGTGATATTATAAAATAAAAATAAATACATCTTTTGCAGATTATGAAATATGCACATGTTTTATGCAAAAATTTGGAGAATTTACTATTGTCTAATACTACTGTTTATTATAACAAAAGTTAATTAAATCTTCTTACTACAGATTTTAAATGGTAAATTTTTACTTATCCTGTTTTTCATAAAAAATAAAAGCTTTTATTGCTAACGTCATATAAGATTAATAGATTCCACACATTAACTAAAAAAATTTTACATAATTAATCAATTTATTTAGTTACATATATTTTTTTAATATATGAGTTTTGAAAGAAGAAACTAAAAAATACAAAGTTTAAACAAAAATAATATTTAATAATTTATTTTTATTAGCTAATCATTATTTATTTATTTGTATCTTATTTTTTGCTTTTTGTTTGATCACTTGTTTTCAAAAGTATGAATATTATAAATGATCTGATTGATTATTTAAGAAGTTGCTTTCACGAAAAGAGTCATCCATAAACATATTATCGTTCTCTATTTAACCAACACACTATTGATAGTTAATATCAAGTTATTATTAATCATAATATTCATCAATAGATGGATAGATTTATTCAGTTCTCTAAGTATCCAAAGTGTTGGTAAACTATTCTGTGATCAACTGTGTTGAAAATAGAATCTCCTGATTATTATTTTCACTAAATGATACAATTAGAGGACCTTTTTTTCTTCCTTATTATTTTTTTTATATTTAAAATTAAGGATCATTATTATGCTTAATTCTTATATGGTTAGAAAGGGAGCCTTCGCCTTAAAGAGTTTTTCCACATTTACAGACTAACTATTTAGCTGGGGTTTGTTTAGGTTTATTTCTAAGATTTTTCGAATCAAGTGGTCTTCCAACTTTAGCATTTGTTAAGTTAAAGTTTTTTTTGTCGTTGTTATGTTTCAATCTTATGTGATTAAATAACGAAGCATTTCTTTCATAATTTTTTCCACAGCGACAAATAAATTTTTTTTTTTCCATTTATGAATTTTTTAATTTAGTTTTTATTTTAATAATTATAAATATAAAATTAAAAAATAATTTGCTTCTACTTAATAATGACTTTCCTTAATATAATTTAAGGAATTAAAAATGTGATCAATAAATAGTAAGGCCTAAAGTATAGGCTAATAATCCATGTCAAATAACTTAAAAAGAACTTAAAGCTAGTTAGTTACTCAATTATGCTAAAATTTTCTTACAAAATGTAAAAAAATAAATTCTTACACTCTCAAATACAAACTAAAAAGATTTTATTGTAATCTAGTTTATTAATAAATTTACATAATTAATGCACTTTTAAGTGGTTGATTAACTTGAAAATGTTAGCTACATCAATTCTTAAAAACAAAGAAACATTGTAGATATATTGATCTCTCAAATTTAATTTAATAAATTTATAAATTTCTCATGGGAAAAAGAAACACTACCAAAAAAATCAAGTTATTAATCAATATTTTTTCATTTAGTTTTGGATACTATTATAAATTAGTATTATGTAAATGAAAAATAGTTGTATATGTAATTTAATTTATGGATAATTAAAAATTACCCAATTTAAATATGAGGCAATCTATATTAAAATTAAATTTTTTACCATCAAATATAGAGACAGACATAATAACTAGTTTATTTTAAGGAATAAAATATAAAATTATATTTTTTAAATTAAATAATTTTATTCAATTTAACTTTACACTTTAGTATCAAGAATATATAAACATATTCTAAACATATTTTATCTATATTAAATATATATCTTATTACATATCATCACTAAATAGAATCTAATTTATCATAATACGTTGAATAAGAATTAATCAATCAATATATTTCTTTACTTTTTTTAGAGAAGATATCTTTAAATAGTGGAGTATGTATTTTATTTATTGTTAATTAAGTTATTTTGATAGGAATTTTATTTATTTTGTTAAATTATTTTGCATTTTAATTCAATAGAATTTATTCAACAATT